AGTACTTATGTAGACATAAAAGTCAATGTTTGCGCTTTATTGCTTTTATTTACTTTTTGTTTTGTTACATGCACATAATTAGTTGTACGATTTTGTTTTTTATAATTTTTGCATCTTAAATTATGTATTGCGCTGTTGTCATAGTACATATGTACATTTAAATGTACATACTTAAATATAACTACTTAAACAAACGTTTCGTTCAATGTAACACAATCACAAACATACACTCCTCAATGAAATACGGCCAGTTACAGTTAATGCTTGAGTTATCAACGTACGCATTGTTTCGAATGTGCATTTTTTTTTTGCTGTTTTAATTTTTTTTTTACAATTAATTTAATATAATATTTTATTTCTCCTACTTGTTCAAGTGTACGGAGTTACAATGAGAAGCCGATTTCAAACAAATAAATAATCGATTGTGATAACTGATGTAGCTAAATTTCAGTTTCTAAATCTACCTCACGTTGCACCATTGAAGCAGATATGTATGTATGTATAAAGGCAGAAAATTAATGCTGCCTCATTCGTCTGTATATATAAGGCCTAATGTTAACTTTGCAAATGCGTTTATGATGTAATAATTTTTTAACCAACAAGTTTTCAGTTTGTTTTGCATTTTTTTGTATTTTTTTTGTTTTGTATTAGCATAAGTGTGAAGAGTGTAATGCGGTTATTTTATTGTCTTAAATTATGTTTCGTATTTAAACAAAAAGAAAATGTATGTATATCGCTAAGACATGCATGTGAATCAGGAGTGCATATTACTATTGTAAACTTAGAAATTTACATAAATATAAACACCTTAATAATGTTCATTATTGATAAAAAAAAATAAAAAAAAAACAAACAAGAAAAACTAAGAATTTTGTAAAATCTTAACAACTTAATTTAATGCGACGGGCCTTCTGATACTTAGCATCATGGAACTAAATTAGATGTACAATTTTTTAACTATACATTAGAATGTCAACGCTGTAAGAATAACATTGAATATCCTTTTTGTATTATTGCAAATTACAATGAGAATAAAGCGAGTTATTTAAAAATGTACCAATCATTTTTTAAAATATTTATTTTTGTATACATACTACTNGCAAATTACAATGAGAATAAAGCGAGTTATTTAAAAATGTACCAATCATTGTTAAAATATTTTTATTTGTATATATACATACATAACTAAAAGCTGATGGGAGTTTTATTTTATTGTATCTGCAAAACGGTACAATTTGCAGTATGAATGTATGTTTGTATTACTTCTTTTATATACCATCTAATTCAGGCAAAGGACGGACAGCGGCAGAGAAAATGTTCTAATGTTCTGCCAGAGCGAAGTGAGGCTATGGTGGTGCGAGTCTCCCGGTGCAGACGAAGCTCTCTCTCCTCCACGTCAGGTGGCGATGTTTCCAAAAGGACATTCGGACAATCGGGAGGCGGTGTTGGTCGAGACCGACTGCCTGTGAATTCCGTCGGTTAGCTGTAGAGTCCAGAGGTTGTTTTATGAACCTCTTGACTTCGTCCGTCAGTTCGTATAGATGCCTTCAGATGCCCGCGTCTGTGACACCCTAATAACTGATTTCAAAGTTTCACTGTAGATTTTTTGTTGTTGTAGCAGCTGTAGTCACTGTAGATCGTCGATGATGCCTATGGTGAAGATATGTTGTCCCCATGGAATGTGCCCCGTAATCACTGTAATCCAAAAAAAAGTTATGCACATTTCAGACCGATTGCAAATTTGTAGTGTCCGACCGAGCGTTCGCCTTCGGTTACCGAACAGTTCGGCCATGAAGTTCGGGCTCGGATTCATTTCGGTTTAGATCGAAATTGACCGAGTTCTTTTTACTTGGCCACGCCCATGGATTGTTGTTAGTATCAATTTTGTGTAAATTAGCGTCCTTAAATTTCGTAATATCGAAGTTTCAAGCATTTCTGAAATTCACCGTTATATAAAAAGTGGGCGTAATTTTAGTCCGATTTCAATAATTTTAAGCGTTTTGATTTTATGTACAATAATCACACAGAGTTTGGTACAAATTCATCGAACGGTTACCGAGATACATATATGTATGTGGTCATAAGTGGGCGGTACCACGCCCATTTTCCAAAATTTTGTCACAAACGTATTTGTTGCTAAAGAATTATTGCAAGCATCAATTTGGAATAAATTAGCTTCAGTATTTACTGATTTATCGAAGATTTCGTATTTCTCTAAATTACCATTATATGGGATGTGGGCGGGTCAATAAGTCCGATTTTAAAAATTTTTCAGCCGTTTTGGTATGCTTTACCAAGGCCAACAACCATGCCAAGTTTGGGAGAAATTGGTGGAGCGGTTACCGAGATATACACATGTAATCATATGCCCATTTTCCAAAAATTTATAATTTTATTATTTTTTTTCGTCTGAAAATCATTGTAAATATCAATTTAGAGTAAATAAGCTGCTGTAGTTACTAAAATATCGCTGTTTTCGTATTTCTGAAATCTCCCGTTATATGGGAGGTAGGCTTGGTTATTGTCCGTTATTACCCATTTTTAATTCCACCCGTCCTACGGTTATAGTAAGTACACATACCAAGTTTCGTTAAGATATCTAAATTTTTACTCGAGTTATCGTGTGCACAGAGTGGGTTTCTTTTTTCATTCTAATCATTTATGTATGCATTTGTCTATATCTACATATCTCGATTCGTTTTGCCTGTTACAAACAATCGTAATGTGTTAAAACCGTAATTAAGTTAAAATACAGTTGTACACAAGTGCGAACCCTCCATGGGTTCAGGATATACATATACGGAATCTATTTGCATGTTGTGCTCGACGTGTAATTGGTCACGATGACAACTTTGCTACTAAAAACAAAGAAAACATGGAACATGGACCTGGTACGGTGCGGTATTTTCCTGGTGGGATATTTATGTTTGTATTCATGGATGTATGTACATATGTATGTATGCAGCCGACCACTTTTTCCGCCGCTAGCAGTGTTGCCAGAGGGCAAATTCGTTTGGAGCTGAAACGGCCGAAAAAGAGCTAAGAAGGGCTAAATAATACTAATAGTAGCTAAAATGAAGAGCTAGTTTTTTTTAAGTTGAACATTTATTGACGTAAGGTTGTTTTTACATTTTCCGAAATTTTAATAAAAGCAACGAATTTTGTAAGTTAAAGTGCTGAAAAAAAAAACATTCAAAACCAAAATAAGGTGCATATATTTCGAATCCGTTATAACACTTATAGGCATGCACATACTTATATAAAAAAGACAATGAACTAAATAAAATAGAATAAGATGAAGCTATCGAAAATAGCCTGAGGTCGCCATAACCAAATAAATTGTTGTCAACACTTGTACAATGACAGATTTGGAATTTAAATATATTACCAAGCACAACTAAAATTTTCTGGAGCTAAAAAAGAGGTAGATAATTTTGAAAAGAGTTAAAAAAAAAGCTAGGAGCCAAAGCCCAATTTTCGAAACTAAATGGAAAAATAGAGCTAAATAATCTAGCTCCAAAAGGACAAAATGGCAACACTGGCCGCTAGCTTCTTGGTTGACGGCGACGGATGGCTGTATGTTATCTCTCTGTCGCATTTCTTCTATTGCCTTTTCCGTTTATACAATGTGCTGCTTCCATGTGCTGCCGACTGAACTGCTTTGCTGACCGCGACGACGGCAACCAATCGGCGTTGCCAAAAACCGCATTTCAACCGTCGAGCACGTCTATTGTTCCACATGGTATCAGGCGCCGAGCATGTCTAGCAAGTCGCATATGCCATTTCTTTGTTCGATTGTTTCGTTTGGAATCGCTGGGAATTTCTGCTCAGCCAATGGTGGCGCTGCATTGGCTGGCGCGTACACACATTCATGCATGCATAATACGAGCACTGTGAATCAGCGATGGAAGTTTAAATTGCAAATTGTACCTAATTTGAGTAGAAAATTGTATCCCATAGCGGATGAATGTACCCAAATAATTACATATTTCACATCTCTTAAAATCCAATTGAAGGTGTGAAAATATGAGGAGAAATTGCCCTTACGATGCATTAGCTAATTTTGGAATCTGCATTAAACTACTTTGATCTGTTCAAAAGGGAAAGAATCTAGGTAGGGCCAAATTATGTTTTACTTTTATTTTTTTATATCTAAGTATCTTGCCGATTTCCACCTTAAGTCCACTAAAACACGTTTCTGAACCATTTCCGTGACGAAAGCTTCTACACAAGCCAGAAACTTGTATTCGTTTGGTCTCGTCATGTCTCCAAAAATGGCATTAGCTGTTCAGGATGCTTTTTCGGCCTTTAAATGCTTTAAGGAAACAAAAGGATTGCTCCAGCGGTAAATTAAGGAAAGACAAACTACCTCCTTGAAATAAACAAAGAGTATCAGCTCATTGGGAAGCCAAGTCACTGTGGGTTGCTAAGATAATATTCCAAAGTTGTAAAGTATTCTTTTACGAAGAAAAACTACTGTCAAGAGCGGATATGATATGGATTCGCTGGAATGCGGTGATCTTTTCGGTGGAAATCAATGCTTTTTAAATCCTTTATATATAAGGACAAGATATATAATGCAGCAACGTGGACGATGCCTGCCGTGACAGTCGCGCCTACATAACCGAAAAGACCCAGATTTATATTTGGCCAGGTTTTTTCCCGCTCAGCTGATTCCCGAAAAACTCTTGAAGAATTTGTATGCTGTTACAACAAAAACATACCTAATAAAGATAAGCCTTGTGATGCATTTAACAGAACAAATCTGCGCAAGGTCTGTGGTTCGCGTACGCGATGACAAGTAACGAGATGGAATCATAAACTGTATGACCGTTCTTATAAAACCAATCTCAAAATTACATATCTGTGCTTGGTTCGTATAATATTAAAATAATTTGGCTGCATTGAAAATGTATCTAGAGTTGAGCCTTGTACCGAATGTACATTCAAACTACTGAAAAAAGCCCAAGTGTATCTACTTTTCCATCACTGCTTGGCGTGTACAGAGACGTTCTCTGGTATATGAAGTGCGTGTGTAGCAGGTGTACCGCGCGCTTTTAGCACTGCATTGACGGTCTCGAAGCTACAGTGGACGCAGACCAATTGGGATGGCGGCAAGAGAAAGTTTTATTTCTAAGTTACAGTAATCAGCCTCATTGCGAGAGTGCTGTCGAATGCAAGTCGTTTTTCGAGAGTCGAATCGTATGGAAAGTTTCATGTCATTGCCTAAATTTTCGACTCGAATAGTGTATTAAAAGGGAAAAACTTGGCAGCACTGCATAGTTTTCGACGACAGTAGACAATGCCAATGTTGTCGAGTCGTTCAAATTTATGGTTTATGCTTTAAGGTCACAGCTTATACATACCTAAATAATGTGCCTTCGGGCAGCCCCAGCAAGCAGCCTAAAATGTAAACTCAAATGTTATAGGCTTAACAAATACGTTTCACACATACTGTTTTACTTTGTATTTCAATTTTTTATGTATAGAAATGTAAATATTTAATTCTACAAATCTTCTTGCAGTTTTTTGATGAAATGTTATTTACGACTGTATTAATTGAAGTGAAAGAGAGAAATAATGCAGTGTATTTAGAAGAAAATGTAAAATCAATACCATATGCCCTTTTTGACAAAATTTAAATTTTGCATGGCAAAGAAAAAAACAGGATATGCATCCAGAGAAATCAATATTTTGTAAAGGAATGGCTTTTAATTTTAGTACAAGGTTTGTAACTGATAACAAACTAATAGATTACTAACAAAATAACTTAAAAAAAGTTAAATAGGGCCATTTGCATTGATACCGACAATAAATACATACACATGTGCACATGTATGTAGATTAGTCCCAGTTATTTTTCTACATAAATTTTATGTAAATGATAAGTACGTTAAAAGCAAAGGAAAAAGTTCAACTTCTTAATTTAATCGAAATTGTAAACACAGATAAATTAAATAACAATCCAGTGTTGTTATAATTTCTAAAACGGCGCACGATAAATGTCTGCCAGCAACATGCGCTTCATTTGCTTTTGTTAAACATTTTACGTATACTTTGGGAACATCAAGATGTTTAATAATATTGTTTTAGTAGTGTAGTTTTTGCGTGGTCAATGATTAAAAGAAAATTGTATTCATGTAGATATTATTACTCTATGAAATCTGTTCAAACATTGACCCATGATTGTTTTAATGGTTTGTCGCTGTTGCTTGGTGTATAAAATATTGCTATGAATATTACGCCTCCAAATCATTGACAAATAGCACTTCACGGTGCTTCAGGCCTGCTTCAGCTAACGTTGTGTCATTGCTATTACCGTTGATGGCGGCATTGTTAATGAATGAGCTGGCATAAAGGACACGTTTAGGAAAATTCGTTGTTATCTCGAATTCATCAGGTGAAGAGGGGTGACAGAACAGATAGTTGTACACATCCTGTTGGTGACAGGCAAAATTTTAACATTGATACATATTTATTTAATAAAAAAATCAAATACTTACAATTAATGAGTTGGAATTGAGAAAGCGCCGCTCAAGTCGTGCGCCGTTCGGCAGTTTGAATACGACACAGATGGTATCCGCTGTACCGGCTGGTGGTTCATTTGGTACCTTGTTGGCCAACTCAATTTTTAGTTGAGCAATTTCCTGAAGATTATATATTTCGTAATTTAGAAATTTTAATATATATGTATACTCCCAAATCACTCACTTGTTTTCGGCGTGTCTCTTCAGCGCGTTCGCGTTCAATAGCCTCCTGCGCTTGTCGTTCAGCATCACGCTCTAACTGACGAAGCCGCTCCTTCTCCTCGTCGGCACGTAAACTAAGCCGATATGCTTCGTCTTGCTGCTGGCGTAGAGTTTGTGTAAGATTTCGTTCTAAACGATCAGCCCGTGCTTGACTCAGCCATATCTCATTTGCCGATATCACCGTTTGCATGCGGCGTATCAACTCTTCAGGCATGCAATCACCTTCGAAGCGACCCACAACAACCATTCGATTGTTGCGTAGAGTTATTAACATCATCGTCGGATAGACGTGCACATTTAATGTGTGCGATACCCTATAACCCTCTGGCGAGGATACGTCACAGCCCCAGAAAAGCATATTACGATTAACATAATCAATTACTGATTGGTTTGAGAGTGTAGTGCGGCACAATGAATCCACATCTGGATTGTTTGTGGGATCCTTGTGCAGGTAGATGAGCAAGAAACGCAACTCTTGTTTGGCATCATTAAGTGCTTGCGCGTAGGTGCCCTGGTAGAAGACCGGGTGTGCTGGATAGCGTTCATTGTATGAGCGTATAAAGCTCATGACATCACCCACCGGATCGGTGACGACTACAATGAAGCGGGGTAAAATATAAATTTAATTAAATAAATGAAACCAAGTGCCTAAAATATTCCCTCTTAACCACAGTACATACTTCTTTCGTCGTTTCGCCCCAGATTCAGTAGCGCATTTAGTACACTGGCGAATGTTGAGTAGCAGTACTGAAATACCACATTAATCACGTAGCCAATGAAGCCTGTAAAGCTCCGCGGGATAGGACCTCCAGTTCCGCGCACCGCTCGACCACCGGGCATATTTGCGGAAAAAATTTGTTGCAGAAAGCGATCGTCGATGACAGCAGGTGCGCGTACATCTCTCGAGGCAGCATATGTTGTTGGAATACCTTCACGTATGTTCATTTGTTCTTGAAAAGCAACCTGCAAAGTGGAATTAATTAACACCGGTATTTATCNGGCAGTTTGAATACGACACAGATGGTATCCGCTGTACCGGCTGGTGGTTCATTTGGTACCTTGTTGGCCAACTCAATTTTTAGTTGAGCAATTTCCTGAAGATTATATATTTCGTAATTTAGAAATTTTAATATATATGTATACTCCCAAATCACTCACTTGTTTTCGGCGTGTCTCTTCAGCGCGTTCGCGTTCAATAGCCTCCTGCGCTTGTCGTTCAGCATCACGCTCTAACTGACGAAGCCGCTCCTTCTCCTCGTCGGCACGTAAACTAAGCCGATATGCTTCGTCTTGCTGCTGGCGTAGAGTTTGTGTAAGATTTCGTTCTAAACGATCAGCCCGTGCTTGACTCAGCCATATCTCATTTGCCGATATCACCGTTTGCATGCGGCGTATCAACTCTTCAGGCATGCAATCACCTTCGAAGCGACCCACAACAACCATTCGATTGTTGCGTAGAGTTATTAACATCATCGTCGGATAGACGTGCACATTTAATGTGTGCGATACCCTATAACCCTCTGGCGAGGATACGTCACAGCCCCAGAAAAGCATATTACGATTAACATAATCAATTACTGATTGGTTTGAGAGTGTAGTGCGGCACAATGAATCCACATCTGGATTGTTTGTGGGATCCTTGTGCAGGTAGATGAGCAAGAAACGCAACTCTTGTTTGGCATCATTAAGTGCTTGCGCGTAGGTGCCCTGGTAGAAGACCGGGTGTGCTGGATAGCGTTCATTGTATGAGCGTATAAAGCTCATGACATCACCCACCGGATCGGTGACGACTACAATGAAGCGGGGTAAAATATAAATTTAATTAAATAAATGAAACCAAGTGCCTAAAATATTCCCTCTTAACCACAGTACATACTTCTTTCGTCGTTTCGCCCCAGATTCAGTAGCGCATTTAGTACACTGGCGAATGTTGAGTAGCAGTACTGAAATACCACATTAATCACGTAGCCAATGAAGCCTGTAAAGCTCCGCGGGATAGGACCTCCAGTTCCGCGCACCGCTCGACCACCGGGCATATTTGCGGAAAAAATTTGTTGCAGAAAGCGATCGTCGATGACAGCAGGTGCGCGTACATCTCTCGAGGCAGCATATGTTGTTGGAATACCTTCACGTATGTTCATTTGTTCTTGAAAAGCAACCTGCAAAGTGGAATTAATTAACACCGGTATTTATCTAAGCGCATTATTTGTAAAAATTCTTCACCTCTAGATCCCACTGATGTCTGATTAAGACATCCCGACATATATTCATATCCTCAATGCCTGTTATGTCTTGGAACTGTAGAACCTTTTCGGTTTGTTCATTTGTAAGTCCGTCTTCCATGACTGTGTGTGAGTTTGGATTTTTCGGGCGCAGCAGTACAGAAAGGCAACAAATCAAAGGTGATGATTCGTAGTTTGTTGTTCGTGTACACGTATGGACGGTGCAAAGAACGTAGACCTTGCCGTCGTCGTTGTTGTTTTAGCTGGTGTGGAAAAGTCGTGTTCCCTCGACGATATGAAGCGTTGCAGTATTTGCATTCCCAAATAGTATTTGCCCTCCCGCTTTTTTTGCACTCGGTGATTGGTTATGAGTGAAAGTATACGGAAAATTAACTGTTGACGCCGTAATTTGTTTTTCCAGACAAACCTAGTTTTATTAAAATAATAAAACAAAACCGCTGCAAATTGGCTCAAGTTACGATGAATTCTCCTTTTTATCTGACTTTTCTTATTTGACAGTTCAGCAGAGATGCCATTATATTTGTAAAAACATTGGCCGCAGGGTCGCATGCGCTACGTAAATGAAGTTAAGTGAAGCAGCGCATATGTTGTCATAAGGAATTTCATTACGTTTACATACGTGCATTAATTGCACCATTTAAAAATGATGAAATGAAGAGATGAAATGATCCTAGTTGCAGCCTTGCCAGATTTACGGATTGTTCCGTACAGTACTGATTTGCAGGGGAGAAAATGGCTGAATGGATTCAACGTATGGATTTTTAGCTTTCCGTCAAGTTGTACGGTATTTTTGTGTTTTTCCATATTGTAAAAAATTACTTACTTTACACATATCCCATAGATTTCTTAAAGTTCCTGAACCCTATTTTTTTTTAATTAAAAAATTCGTTATTTTCGTACTTGAGGTCTTATATGTTAACAGCTTGACTATTTTTCACTCGATTTTAATCTTGGGAAGAGGATTTATAGGGCTTAAAAAGTATTTATTTATTCAATCATTCACAATATATTGGTATACTTCGATTGTTGGGAGGTTTTGTTGCGTAAAATTAAAAAAACTTCAATTTCCTTTATTTTTTTCCAACTTTAATCATCGCTTCAAATATTATACTGTTACTCGGTAGGGTCGACAACCTACCTTAAAAGTTTTGTTACATGTACATAAACTAAGAACGCACTGCTTGCTAAAATTTTCTAGTCAGAAAAATAATAAGGTGTCTGTGAAACAATCAATAAATAGGACTAGTAGAAACATGTGTTGATATTTGATGTTATTAAAAGTACGATTCCTGTGTTCACTTAAATACAAACGATTTTTTTTTGCTCGCCAAACAAATTTGAGACAACGGATTTAGTACGCATTTTTCACCGACCACTTTTTGTCCGTGTACGGATATTGGACTCTAAACGAACGTCTGGCAGCCCTGATTAGTTGGCAGCGTTGTTTGCTCCCCCGCATTGACATTTCTTTAGATCAACTTTTACCTGTTGTAAACAAAATATAGAAATCAAAATAATTGCTATTCTACACTGCCTGCTCAAAATAATTCCAAAAACAATAAAGTATTAAACACCAATAATAACCAGCATGTCTTACCTAGTGAATTTCAGCAACGACACTGCCAAGCAAATTCTTATAGAAATCATACGCACAGTGAATCAGCCCGAGAACTCCAAGAAGCTATCGGAAGCCAAAGCCTCTGCTGGAAAGGAAATGCTACTAATGATGCAGCACGTATTTCCATTGGTTATGCAATTACAGACAGATGTTATCAAAACTTATGGATTCCCAGGAAATCGCGAAGGACTTGTACAATTTTCACAGTTGGTGCGTGAAATGGAACGCGAGGATGTGGAAATTGCAAGATTGCGTAGCCAGATAAGAGCCATATACTTGCCGCCCATAGCTATCAATACCACAAATGATATTTTGATATGAGATCAAGAAATTAGTTAACAAAAGACTGAAATATGATTTGTATTAGTAATAATGTTAAAGCATAAACAGACGGCAGCGTTGATCCGGATCAACTCGGGAATTAATTGCAGTTGATCCGGATTAAGTCCGAGTTAGTCCGGATCAACGCTTCCATCTGTTTAAGCTTTTATTACTGTAGGCGCACATCCATAATATATAAATGCATTTATGTATTTGATATAAGTAAGTATATTTACACAGAATATGAGTATATCCAGCAAAGAAATTAATACATGCATTTTGAAAAAGTTGACAGTGTGAATTGGTTTTGTAAAACTTTTGTATCACAATCCAAAAAAAATTTCAAATCCTGCTATAGTAAAACGCACTAAAATCTATTTAAACTAAATGCCTAAAATATAAGTTTTGTGCAGTATTGTTTTTCTTGAAATGCAAGCAAATTCTACATTAATCAAAATAAATAAACGATGTTTATAGTTGGAAAATAAATAATTTTATATATGTAGGTATGTACATTTGACTGCATCACCAAAAAAAGGTGCGGTTTTTCCGCCGGTCCTACAAAATTTATTATGACGTTCGCCAAAATATTTCCGAAAAATATTAAGATTTACCTGAGCTGAACCGATTTGAAAATATCGTCAAAAATGGAGTTTTTTATGAGTAAAAATAGTTTCTTATGGGTCGATTATCAATAGCAATCGAACTTTAGTTGCTTTGCTAGTTGCCAAAACGATATTACAGATGGCAACTGACAATTGCTGTTGCTACGAGTGTGTACCTATACAGGCGACTACCCATTATATGGTCACCCATTCTTCTTCATGTTTCTTTGCTGCCAGATTTTAAAATTATATACATATACACAATGGGCCGATGCATAAAAAGTAAGCAATTGCTTTTACTTAAAATTTCATGCCTTTCATCCCGACTTCGCCATAATCCCGACTTTGAAGAACCCGACTAGACATAATCCAGACAATTTTTAAAAATCCAGACAGGACATAATACAGACATAACAAAATCTCGACCAAATAAAATACAGATAACACATTATTCAGACAAGACAAAATCCCGACGACTCAAATTCCCGACAAGACACAATCCAGACAAAGAAAAATTACAATGCGTCCGGAAATGAAATTGATGACTTATGCTTAAATATAAGCGGTCACCACTCCACATTTTTTCGCTTCTTCACTGCAAGGAGCCTAACCCTCGGCAACCATTTTAGCACAAGGACGAAAGCTGCGTATTCTCGTCGATGGCAAACTAATTCCAACGGTGAATAACCGGAAAATAGTCAGGGCTCGAATCGTCACATACGATAGCGTACCACTCGTCACGTAAAAACACATTTTTCGGGTCATGACATACGTGAACGTACTCTTTGCCCCATTCAGCTTATACTGCCTGACGTATCACGTAATTTTCTTTCGTATCGTTTTCGATCCGTGAACGGATGTTACGATTCGAGCCCAGATCTAGCTCTCGTTTCCGGCGCATACAACTGAAATTGCCAACCAAGTACAGAGCCGTAGTCCTCAATTCGGCAGTACTTGGCCAAAGACAAAGAAACGGTGTTGCAACCATACAAAGCCGTCCGATTCTAAATTATGCAGCGCCTGTGTGCTCGCCGGGGACAATTGGTTCGCAGTGGACGAAACTAAAGACATGCAACAATACAACACCCTGAACAACCAGAGGATGTCTTCTGACGTCGCCAGAACATCACATCCACAGTGAAGCCGAAATTCTCCCAGTAAGGTGCAACAGTTGTCAGTACTCGAACTTGCTTGAGCACTACGCACAGCACTCCTGGGACTGGGACTGTACAGACAGGCTATTAACGGCATTTACAAATTCCAGTCGAGTGAATGACGTCATCAGTGCCAATCACCACCTGTGAACGAGAGTGAGCTTCAACTGCCACGATATACCCGCGTAACTCTGGCCCAACTCGCCTCCCAATATCGAAAATGATTGTCCAGCATGTGGAGATTCCCCTCTTGACACCAACCACCTCTTCACATGCTCACTCAATCCAACTCAACTAACATCCCCCCTGCCCCTCTGGTACTACCTCATCGAAATATCAAATCTCCTGGGCCTACCGTTAGTTGAGCCTGCGGACAATTACGGGCTAAGTAAGGCCTTACAACAATAACAACAACTGTGTTTTTTATACATTATTTTTGAGTGAATACAGAAGACAATCATGACAAAAATCCCGACAAAATATAAAAATAATTAAAAATTCGCGCGGTTTTTTAATTATTTTTATATTTTGTCGGGATTTTTTGTCGGGATTTCTTGTCTGGATTATGTCTTGTCGGGATTTGGTCGTGTCTGGATTATGTCTGGTTGGGATTTAGTCGTGTCTGGATAATGTCTTTCGGGATTCTGTATTTCGGTATTTTGTATATCGGGATTTCATTATACACTCGGCCCAATAATATGAACAGTACCTGTTACATTAGTCGTTTTTGCCGTTGCTGTTACGTTTATTGTGGCGGTTGCTGTTCTGGTTGCTCCTGTAGCAATTTCTGAAAATGTATAAAATATTATTTTAATATTTTTGAACATATTTACATATGTACATACTATACATAAATATAAGTAACACAAAATTACCTGTTGCATTTTGATGAGCAGTTTCTGCCCAACATTGTCTTGGAATCCTTTTCAACTGAAACAGTTTTCGCATGAATCTCCTTTTATAGCCGATGTTATTAAACGGTAAACGAAACGAAATGCATTCAAACATAATTTCCAGCACATGCTCGATATATCGAATAAGAAGTAAGAAAAGCAGACAAATATTCAAGAGTTCATAGCTTCCGAAAATACCTGCATATTTACTAGGGCGTTCGATTATTCGACATTTTCCACAATCACGTTTCGAGTTAAGGCGAATCTTCATACGTATGCGTGCGTTTGACAGAAAAATTGAATATAAAAATTTTTATGGCAGCACCCATGGTGGAATAATACAAGGTGTTGGATATTGACAGCGTTCTCGCTCTAATCCGCCATCTTGGCTCCCTTAGCTATATCAGTGTTTCCCTCTTGAAAAAACTACATTTTATCGCCTTTAAAAAAGTACTAAACTACCTCATTCCCTATTCCAAAACCGATTTGCAATCACTGAACAATTCTTTGACATTTACTCTATTCTTATCGTTGGCAACTGAAAATTAAATTAGAAATTTCAACATTAATTCGGCAAAAAAACATCGGTTTAGAGTTCTCCCCAAGGATTTGTAGTTATTTTGGTCGGTGCTTCCTTCCGCTGCAATTCCGTCTGTGGTTCACTGCCACTGGCCTTGCTTTTTCAACGATATAACTGTTTTCTTGGTAAGTTTAGATGGAAGATTTAAACAAGAACTACGTATTTAACTATGCATCTATTCCCCAGTGATTTTTGCTGCTGCAATCCCGTCTGTGGTTCACTGCCTCTGGCCCTGCTTTTCCAACGATATAACTGTTTTTTTGGTAACTTCTACCGCTAAGACTTTGTTGCTTTTTCCCTTTTCCTTAAAAACATAATAGTGCTACAAAGCTCAATAACAATATGGAAACAAATGTTAATAAGCCACAATAATATTGACAATAAATAAGATTTCACTACGATTGAATTTTCTATTAGTAACAGGGTAGTTATAGTGAATGTTTTATTCGATAACTAAAACTATATTTGATGTTTGTAGCGATAAAAATATGCCTAAATCAGCCAAATACCCTATGTGGGTCGGCTGAATCAGTAAAACGTGACAGTAGTTGACTTTTGAGGTTAATATATCGGTCTTGAGTTGGTAAGGTTTTTAAAAAATCCGCAGCTTCCTTTAAAGCATCGCTGCTAATTGCTGAGAAAACCAGATTGTATTTACCGACATAAGATGTGGTCTTGTACGACTGAAAGGTGGCCTCAATTTGTAGAAACCATTTGTCTGTCATCTCAGTTCAGAACGGTCGCAGCTTGCATTGCGATGCAAGCTCCACATCTTTAGTTGGCATTTTGTTCGATGAAATATTCTCCCCTTCCGTCGATTCGCCCTTTTGTCGATTCCGTCATGTTGTAACGACTCGGGGTCACCACTAATTTTTTGGTTTTGGAAGTTTGACTATAATTATAGGACATTGTGTTTAATAAACTAAATTACCATTTATTGCATAAGTACTACGTTATATATACTACTTTCGCGAATTTAGCTTATCATAATATACCGTTTGTAACTATTTATATGCAAAATTTTATATGAAAAATAGTACCAAATTTCGTACTACTTCGCAAAGCGGGCTTTTTTTCTTCCCGTTTCTCTCGTGCTTCCATATTACAACCTTTTGTAAGGGAGCTGTCGACATGAGCTGTCACTACGTACAACACCTTGTATAATTCCACCATGGGCAGCACCTACATATATGACAACGCATGAAAAATGAAGAAAGTTGTACGAATTTTGACTTCTAAGTCAAGCTAATGAAGTCCGCCTTTGTTCGAAACAAAGTTACTTGAAAAAAATAGGTCCTTAATTTTTAGATTAAAAAAAGGCGGTATATTTACTTTTAGTCAGAAATGAAAGCCAAAAATTTAATGAAAGTATTAAAATTTGGTAACAGCAAAACAAACATTCGATCTAGAACAAAATATTTAAAAGTTCTGGGAATAAGTGTTTTTTTTCATTGTTTTGAAAAACCTTATTTCAATTAATTTTAAATGCGTTTTGAAGAATCATTTCGTGAATCGTATCTCTACTGAAATCAGATTTGGTTGAGCAGAAATAAATTTTTTATAGCTACCTTATTGCAAACAATGTCTCAGAAATTGTGTTTTTTTTGTAAAAAATTACTTTAAGCAGCACTTTGTTTAGCGCTTTAACAGAACTTTGCTTAGCTGACATTTAACAGCACTACATGTAGGAAAATCGAATTGCGGTTTACTCCGCAACAAAACTCCGGTTTATTCCATGTTCGAAAAATCACGATTTCAAAAAGACCACTTAAAAAACTTTGGAAGAATCACCTAAAATCGGCTTGTGAAAACCGGGTCAATCACCCTAATGTTTACATATATAATTATGTGAAATTTGTTTATAAATAATTCCAGTGGAAAGTGACATCTGCGAGTTATCGAGAGAGTGAGATGACGCTTAGCATTCAATATCAGTGTCCTTTTCTGGCAGATAGAAGCTGAGCGAAATTACACAAAGTAGGGAAAGTGCACAGCTAACCGGTGCATTTATGTAATCAATTTATAAGTACCTACATACATATATTTTTAAAAGCTTTA